TGGATAGATGGATAGATAGATAGATAGATAGATAGATAGATAGATAGATAGATAGATAGATAGATAGATAGATAGATAGATAGATAGATAGATAGATAGATAGATAGATAGATAGATAGATTGAATGAATGAATGAATGAATGAATGAATGAATGAATGAATGAATGAATGAATGAATGAATGAATGAATGTTCCAAGGAGCAGTCAAGAGTCCCGTTCCCAAATCAGTGTGTGGCTGAATTCTGTGCCAAACGACATCATCCAACCAAGCTCTTAAACACAGTTAAATCTCTCAAGGTCATGTTTTGTCCATAGAAAATCACCATGAATGATAGAGCCCCCCCCTCCACCACAGCAGTGGGGGGGGGGTTTCTGTGGACACCCCTTGAAGGTTGGTTTCCCCTCCCACTTCATAACCACCTTCTTCTCGAGCAGGTATGTCAAGACCACGGCCAACGCCACGGTGGACCACCTCTCCAAGTACTTGGCGTTGCGCATTGCCCTGGAGGAAGCCCCCGGCCCGGGCCCTGAAGCACCCGCCCTGGAGGACGTCAGTGAGAAGCAGTACACCATCTACATCACCACCGCGGGCGGGGCCTTCACGGTAAATGCGGTCGCTCCTTGGTGGGCCCATAGTCAGGTGGGGAGGAATGGAGGAGGAATGTCGGTGGGTGCAGAGTCTGGTTCCCATGTGGCCATGGGATGGGAACCCCCTGCTTGGGGGCAGGGGATTGGACCAAATGCAGTGGTGCCCCGCATAGCGACGAGAATCGGTTCCGGAAAAATCGTCGCTATCTGGATTCGTCGCTATACGGAACGGAAAACCCCATAGGAACACGTTTAACCCCGTTTAATGTGTTCCTTTGGGCTTAAAACTCACCGTTATGCGAAAATCCTCCATACGGCCGCCATTTTTGCTGCCCAGTAAGCAAGGAAAGGGCGCGAAAACACTGCGGGCAGCCATTTTTTTCCGGCGGCCATTTTGGAACCGCCGATCAGCTGTTGTTAAAACATCACTATGCGAAAATCCGTAAGCGAAACAGCTTACTGATCATCGCAAAGCGATATTTTGCCATTAAAAAGATCGCAATGCGGTTGCTTTTGCGATCGCAAAAAACAAATCGCTATGTGGATTCTTCGTTAAACGGGGCACTCGTTAAGCAAGGCACCACTGTATTTGGGTGAAGATTGCAGAAGACAGGGGGGTCTGGGTTTGGGAAGAAGAGTTTACTTAGCAAATTCGTAGTGGAGGCAACCTGCTTGTAAGGGGGTGGCATTTTTTTCCCTGTGCCTCTGCCAACCTTGGTGCCTGTTGCTCTCTCTCTTGACTCAGACGCTGAACGGATCGGTGACCCTGGAGCTGGTGAACGAGAAGTACTGGAAGCTGAGCAAACCCCTGGAGCTTTACTACGCCCCCACCAAGGAGCAGAAATGATCTCCGTACCACCACCCCCAAAGCCCTTCTCCCCCCCCCCGCAGCTGCCAAGTGGTTGGAAGATGGCACATCTCCGTCTAGGAA